GTTCATTGGCTGGTTGACCTCCCTCACCTTTAGGGGACATCGTCACAGCTTGTGCTGCATGTGCATCATAACATAGACCCAACCAATCGATAACGGAATTTGATGCCGACTTTTATTACTGAAGTGTCATTGTTGCTTGTTTGTTGTATTTTCTGTATCGAAGCAACCAACTGCAAAAACTTGAGTACAAAGTTAAGTGGAAGCAGTGTTCTATAAATAGTATGCTGATGGCAGCTTTGTCTCTAAAGGGTCCGACATAGAGAACTGAACCTCCAGTTCTGGATCTGACTTGCTGTTCCCACACACAAGGCCTCTTTCTGCAGTCGGTTCTGCCTTGACAGTCCTTGACATCATTCTGGAGAGTAGGTCAAACACTCAGTGACTCAGACCTGTGGCTATAAGCAGTCCTCTGCCAGCAGTGGGAATTAAGGTGAATTCAAAAAACTGTCAAAACATGTGGGAAAAACTGGGCTCCACGTTCAGAGCTGGAAAAGAAAAACTGGTAGCATCGACGTCCAGCTCCATGTTTCCATGTTTCAAATCTCTGTTCCCAGTGTAAGTCTCAGAGGAGACACATGTGCTCATGTTTTGGGTCCGAACGCTGGTGCTGCAGACAAAAGCAGGAGCGTGAAGCTGGTGTGCAGCAGGGGGTCCTGGGAGTTTCTCCTCCTCCCTCCCCCGAGGCTCTTTGTCCTGGGGGTCCAAACAGAGCCGCGGGGGGGTTACTGCAGGGTCTCGGAGCATGTGTTGACCTGTCAGGTTGACGGCTCTATGCAAGGACGCACCGAGCCGATGGTCAGGAGTCGAGGTGCCGTTGGGCTTCATGAAGATCTGTGATGACACTGTGTGCACATGCATGTGTGCATCACATGCATCGTCAGCCACATCGTCCTTAAAGCTCATTGTTCAAACACACAATGAACTGATTCCAGTTTGAGTGTAAACACTTTTCGGGGTCCTGCGTGAATCCTCTTGTGTTCTGTGGATTTGTTTGTGTAAACAAATTAGAAGATGTTTCCTTCACTTTATTTCTTCCCCTTGTGTGTTTGTGTGTGTGTGTCGCACAAATGACTCCTTGTGTTTGATGTAGATTTGAGTTTTGTGTATCTTCAACAGTCAGAAAACCTAAAGCCACAACATCTGCACTGTAATATTAAACAGCACGAGCTACTGCAGTGGCTTTACAGTGTGTGTGTGTGTGTGTGTGTGTGTGTGTGTGTGTGTGTACGCTCTGGTTGCTTGCGGACCAGCTCAAAGCTGTGTTACCCAGAGAACTACTCATTTTCTCTGTCTGGACCTTTCAGTAATGTGAGGTTATAAATGCACGTGTGTAGGCACCGCCTTGCAATGGCAGACACACACACACACACACACACACACGTACATACACACTGTAAAGTCACTGCAGTAGCTCATGCTGTTTAACATTGAAGTGCAGATGTTTGCTTTGTGAAGCAACTCAGAACTGCACAATAACACAATCTACCAGACACACACACACACACACACACACACACACACACACACACACACACACACACACGCACTCTGCCGAAGGATCTTTTTGTACCCACTGTTAATGATCTTCAGGCTGGAGCTGATGATCGTTTCAGTATTTGATAAAGAGGCTGTTGTTTGATGAGGTTTGCAGTGTGTGTGTGTATGTGCGTGTGTGTCTGTGTGTGTGTTTGTGTGTGTGTGTCTGTCTGGGTGCTAGTGTCAGATGATAGCTGAGTGATGACAACCTGTGACCAGCATGAGGATTCCCATTTTTCTGTGGGCACAATAACGGGCACCATGCCACCTCACAGACCCACACACACACACGCACAGACACACACCATGAAGTCACCCCTTGAATCTAAAAATAAAAGGGTGTGTCTGACTGGTGTGTGTGTGTGTGTGTGTGTGCATGTGTGTGTGTGTGCGTATGTGTTTCAGCAAACAGAGAGGGTATTCTTCTCCGTCTGCTCAGTGCAGAGGGTGACTTCACCCACTCTGGACATTGCACAGCAACATGAAACACACACACACACACACACACACACTGCCCAGTCATGTGGGTCTGACTGCAGTGAAACTGAGTTTAACTGGCGGAGAAGTTTTTACGAGCGCTTTTCAAAACTCTTCACACGTTCATGTGGATCACTTTAATCACCACATCCTTAAAAGTTCATGACTTTTCTTCTCACACTAACTCAAAGCTCTGGATATCGCTGACTCGGGATAAACTGGCACCACAGTCGAACGTTTATCTCTGGAACGTTTTGCGCTTTCTGCCACTTGAGGCTTTTATTTATAACCGTTTGATATTTAAATGATGTCGCATGTTGCAGAAACTACTTTCTGCAGTTTGTCGCACATGGATGTCTTCGCAATTCTTCAATATTATCAATTGGTGATTCTTGAGTTCAGGTCTTTCTTCCTCCTGTTTTCATTTCATCTCTATATTTTTCTGCTTTCTTCTTCTATTCTTCCCTTTTCTTTGTCACTCCTGCCCTTGTTTTTCACCTCTTGTCCCCTTTCCTTCACTCTCCCTGTCTTTCTTAACTTTGTCTCCTTTTATCCTCACCACCTTCCCTTCCATCCTCCTTTCTCCTCATCATACTCTTCATTTATGAAGTCTTTATTCTTTCCTCTCATCCCCATCACATTCCCTTCTTCTATTTTTGCTTATGTCTCCTTTGCCCCTTTTCTTTGTCTCCCTTCTTGCTGTGTCTTACTCATATTTTCCTTCTGCTTTTCCTCCCCTTCCCCTCCGGCCTCCCACCTTCTTTTTTTTTTGTCTTTCTCCTGCCCTTTTCATACTTCATCTTCACCTTCTTTCCTCAAAGGTTATTCCCCTCATCTTCATCTCCTTTTCTTCTTCCTTCTTCTTCTCCTCCTCGTCTGCTTCCCTAACTCTTCCCTCAGTTATACCTATGAAAATGATGGATCACTTTTTGAGCATAACAGATAGTTTTAGCAGTTTGTGTGTGTGTGTGTAGAATCTCTATGATTTTGGTGTGTGTGTGTGTGGAAATACCTTAATTTTCACAGTGTGTAATACCATAGCAACCAAAACAGAGGTGTGTAAGTCCCAGACTGTGCAAAATCCTTCATTTCATGCTACGACCACAGAAAATACATAACTTCTTCCTTATTGGTCGGCCAGTATCAGCCAATAAACCCCAGTGACCTCTCGCTGTGCTGAGAAACTTTGTTTGAACCCACAGAATTTAATTTGAATGATCATTGTCAAAACTAAAAGTTGTGATAAAGTTGTACCCTGTTCAAATGTGGTTCCCCGTGCAGGTATTTCCCATGTTTGGACTGTTTTTCCAGCAGGATCAGATTTTAAAATATGAACCTTTTGAAGTCAGAATACGTGACAGCATTAGTCCCGAGAGAACGTGGCAGAAAGCTCCGGTTAATATATGAAAGATCTCATTTTATGTTTGAGTTGGCTCTCGAGGCCGAGCTCCCCGCTGCTTGTCTGTAAAATCCTAAAAGCGTAAAATAAGAGCGGTGTTTCCATGACATGCATTCTTTTGATATTTGCAGCAGCGGTGAGAGAATGAATGAATGGACGGTGGAAAAAGGGAGGGACACGTCTGCTCTCCATTTTCACACTGTAACCAGGGTTCTGTTCTTTTATATGTGCCCCTGAAGCATTTAATATTGGGTTAATGGTGGAATTCACCTGCGTTTGACATCGGAAAGAGACGGTTATAAAACCCTTTAGCTCTGTGTGTAGTGTGGGAACTATAGCTGCTCTCAGGCGTGCAGTGAACCCTTGAGATGCTCCTGACATTCACCGCAGGGGTTACATGTGTTAACGCAAATGTCCGAGGATTTTCTGCGCAAGTTCTCCAGCCAGCCCCTTAGTATGAAGTCGCTGAAGCAGCCGCTGTGAGAGCACACGTGGGGATAACAAATATCTCCAGATTAAAAATTGGAGCCATACAAGAAGACACCGATGAAGAGTCCAAGAGAAATGTTATAAAAAGTAATATTTGCAACACTTCCTGCAGCTGTTTCAAAGAAAAAGGATTATCGTTATATCGGGGGGTTGGCAGATGCAGGGCTTCATACTGTAGAGTCATGACACTTGGTTGAGCACACACACTTACTTTTCTACGAGGAAATACAGTAGTTACTCCAGAAACCTCATGTAGCAGCTCCGCAGCCGAGACGCTCCCTGTGCGAACCACAGATCACAGATGCAGCTGCGTGGGTGTGAGGTCTAATCACATTTTTTTGTGACATTCTTGATTTATTGACTGTTGCAGTTTCAGAAATAAAACTGGAATCGGCATCACCACCGACCAAGCAAACTCCAAACAGCATATTCCAGATAGAACGGTTCAGAACGGCCACTGCACTCGTATCTATGAAGCGACATATCACTAAATACTAAATTATCTTTTTTGAAATGAATCTCATCCACCACGATGGCATCGTTGGCCCTTCTCCTCTCGGTGGTCCAGTCTGTAGGTCGCTCAGTGATCCCCTTCACCTTGTCTTTCTCTCTTTCATCCTGTTCTTTTTTTCTGTTGATGTGATTTATGGCCGAACTTGATCCTCACACCACAGCGCACCGCACACTCGTCAACGTTTCACCCCCGCGCAGCCTGTGAAATGCACTCAAACATCCCAGCAATGCATTAACAACACGGGCTTCACCACTGCGTGACCCACGGTCAGCGCTGTGGCAGACACACACACACACACACACACAGAGACAGTCTGTTACGGAGGAATGTGATGGGTTTCTGTGGGATGTTTGGTCCAGGCTGTTTTGGAGATGCTCTTTAGGGTGACGTTTCCATGGGGACGAGACAGTTCAAGTAAAAATTTCTCAAAAAAATGGGTTTTAAAGGAGTCGTCTTGGCAGCGCGGGACATATCTTTGAGCGACTTTTTATTCTTAACGATTATTTTTTATTTCCTTAATGTGAAAGCCCCACTGTTCGCCTTCCAACTTTTTCTCTTTCATCTCAACCAATTCTTTGTCTGCAGATCGAGGATGGAGGGAAGGCGGCGCATTGCAAGAAGCTGAAAGTCGGCGACGAGCTCATCAACATAAACGGATCCGCCCTGTACGGCAGCAGACAGGAGGCGCTCATCCTCATCAAGGGGTCGTACAGGATTCTGAAGCTCACAGTCAGGAGGTAACAACACTTTCCAACATTCCAAAATGGACGCATGTTTGTCTGTTACTTCCTTGTCCCTCTCGACCGTCACTCGTCTTGAAGGTGAGAAAGGGGGAGACGAGAAAGAGGTGACCGTTGCCCCCCCCCCCCCCCCCCCCCCCCGGGCCTGTTAGGAATGTTCGAGCCAGACATGCAAACACACATGAAAGCAAAGTTCGCAGATAGAAAAAGTTTCACAGGAAGTGACCTTTGACCCGTCAGGGTGTCAGAAGGAAAGCAGATAAACTCTGATGAGCACGGAGGAGTGTGTGTTTGTCATGATTCAGAAACACGTTCAAATCTGAGAAGTCCATGAGAAAAAGACTCTTACTTCTTGATTTACTGTTCAATGTCCGAACACAAGTAAAACTTTGTGTCGATTATTGAAATTGTTTGACAAAAAAGTTTGATTTAAAGTTGCAGTTTCTTTGTCTGGCCACTTGGTGCAGCAAGACAAGCTGTAACCACAACACCGACATACACTGAATGCCTCCATTAGTCATTTGATCCGTGGTTTACATAAATATGTTGATTGCTGTGGTTTTTAAGTTTATTTACTGCACCATGACGATGGCTGGCACAGGAGGAGAAACTGTTAATTGTTCCTCTTTCCCACCCTGCTCCCTCCCAGCTCAGTGCTGGTATTTAGGCCTCTGGAAGCAGAACTAATGAGAGGAACATTTCCACGCTCCATGTTGGCATCTTAACACAGACTTAGATGGTGTTGCTGCAGATCTGAGGTCAGATTTATCAGCGAGCTGCGTCAGCTGAATTATCCAGAGAAAAGCAGCTGATCTCTCGGTTTGGAGATAAGATAACAAAAAATAACATTTCTATGCATCGACTGTTTTGTCAGCCGTTTTTGCGGTGACACAGATCTTGTTGTGACAGCACACCCTTAGTTTCTGCAGTAAACAATAAAACTGAGAGTTTCAGTGGCCTGGAGCTTCATCTATTATTTGTGGTTTCAGTTTATCTACATGTTTATTTACAGAAGTCTTAAAATACAATCCGTCCCTTATGTTGTGTTTTTGCCACTTAGTGGATGTCAGTGGAAGTGCAACAAATATCCACAAGGATAATACTGTGTTTTGAATAATATTTCACTGCGGAGATAGAGGAAAAAACATCTCAACACATTCTCAACTTTTCCGTCACCTTGATGTTGAAACTTTCCGCCCCCCCCCCAACCTGGATGATACGTGAAACCAGTTTGCAGGATTTTTACTCTTGATACAACTTTGACTTTGTCTTTTCTCGGACAGCTTCAGACAGCTGTTTGGCAGCAGCGCGTCCTGTTCTGGCTGTGAAACCAGATCGGCCGTCCAGTACACACACACACACACACACCACAGACCAGCATTTACACACACATACAGAACGTACAGTATGAATGCACAGACTCAACAGACAGATGGACAGACATAGATTGAAGAATGTTACTGGTTATGAGAATCACACCCAGTTTAATCCACTGTGTCTGGTATGTGCTGTGAGTGTCTGACTATCTTCAGGGACTTTCCCGTTTGTGTGTGTGTGTTTGTGTGTGTGACTAGGAATTAATTCAAGGGCTGCAAATAACCATTTTTTTGAATTATTAGTTATTATTCCCATCATTTTCTTGATAGATGCTCATTTTATTATAATTGCTATGGAAAAACTGCTGATACTGGAATTGTTTAAAGCTAGAACCAGATTGAGATAATACAGAGTAAAGATTTCAGATATTGATATATTTTCCCATATATATGTGTGTGTGTGTGTGTGTGTGTGTGTGTCAGAATGGCAATGATTCATTTTCACCATAATTAGAATATTATGGTGAAAATGACATTCACAACCACAACTACCTTTAGTCCATGTCTGTGAATGAATTATTGTGTCCAAGCCGAGACAGAGCTGTTATTTGTGTTTTGCTCCAACACGACCACCCTCGTATGAATTTAACTCACTTTGACTGACAGGTTTCTGACACTAATCTCTGCTTCGGTATTGTGTGGAACACGGCCGCACTTTGACCCTGACTCTGTGCCAGTGAACGTCGCAGCGTTTCCCAAGCTTGTTGCAGTCATTACTGTTGGAACAAGTAATCTTCTGGAAAGTACTGCAGCAGTCTCCTGCCAGACTGACTGAATACTCATTTTTGTGCACTTGGCTTTTCCTGGGTAGTTTAACTAGAAGAAAATGACCCTTAGTCAAAAGCCAAAACCCGTTACCACCTCTTTTCATAACACATTTACGGAGACGTGAATGGACAGACTTTTCTGTTTGTTTTTCTAACTCAGTAGGTTATTGTTAGGGATGAAAAACCTGATATGTGTGTGATAAACATTAACCAACCAACCAATCAACAACCCAATCAACCACCCGTCCAACCAACCAAACATAATATGATAACCAGTCTGACAATAACCAATCAGCTCCCCCTTGTGGATCTGTAGACTACTAACAGTGATTGAGTGAGTTGTAAAGCAGTTCAAACATACAAATCAACCAAACACCAACCAACCAACCAATCAACCAACCAATCAATCAATCAGTTAAACAATGGAACATAACCTTCATGGTAATTAGTCTGTCACTGACCAAACAGCTCCCTCTTGTGGATATGTAGACTGTTGTATGTCTGAGTAATAAAACAGCTCTATCATCTAAAATGATGTTCTCATCATACTACAACCTTAAAAAGTTCTTCCTATCAGAGAGTCCATTAGTGTCTCAGCTCCCTCTCTTTCACTTTTGGTCTTTTCTGAGCTTCACTTTAAAGTCTGGCAGAGTTTACCTCAGTCAGTTAAATTGTGCCTTAACTTCTATATGCATTCATTTAAATGTATAAAATAAACCTCCAGTCTGTTCGTGCACTTATGCGTTTCTGCCGTCCCCTCTTTCCTCACCACGACTCCTCCGTCTTCCAAGATGGCATCTTTCCAAACAGGTTTCCAAACATTCCTGCCATACGTTGAGCGACTCCACCTCGTGTGTTTTTATACGTGTTCGTATATGTTTTAGAAAGTGTGAGAAATTGCCCTGCGTGCCTTTTCTGTTATTCTTAGCTCAATTAAAACTCACTTGACCTAAACTGGAGATGGAGAGGAGCCACATGGATTTCTTAGAGCCAGTGCACTTGTCTTGGAAACATCAGGAAATTACTCACTGGGGTTTCCCTGTGCAGGGTTATTACTGTGGGAGCATTGGTGAATAAATGGGCTTTGTACTGGAAAAATATACACACTGCGTTTAATAATATCAAGTAAATGTGGAGGAAGGAAACACAGAGTTGGTGAGGAGAGACGAAAACTCTCGGAAAGTAGTTTTAGCTTTTCTCTGGTTTCGATATAAAAAGCTCGTCATGCATTTCTAAAAGGGTGAATTGTACTTGAGTGCTTTTCATAACATTAATAAGCAGTTGTGTAACGGCGGAAATGAGAAACGCTTGATTCTCGTATTGTCTTGACTGTTTAAAAGGACGGTGAAACTCCTCCTCACTTTGCGTTCTGTTTATCTTGCCTTCCACAGTTATTGTTTGAGGTTTCCCTTCATCCTTCTCACACCATTGTTCCATTCTTTATATAAAATAATGGATCGAGTACATTCAATTCAGACTCGCAGCACTGTCCTGTTCCGCTGAGCGACGAGGCCCGCAGAGCTAAATTTGGCAAACCGCAGGAATTTACTGGCCTGCCCAGCAGTTTAGTGGAGGGATAAGACAGCGGCGTGTTTCAGCTTTGACTTCAGGGATGATGTTTTACAGGCATTTTAACGAGGCAGCTGATGGTGACCAGTGTTTGAGTGTTTCTCCTAATTAAGAAATCCACCGTCATGAAGTAAAGAGAGAAGCAAAGAACTTCACTGATGTTTGACACAAGCTTTGCTTTATGTATAATGTGTAAAATAAGTTCCCTTAAATTAAATCAATCCCTTAAACGTCTCTGAAAATAAAACAAACATTCGATCTTGAGAAAAAATAATCCAGGTTGTGATTCTTGGCCCACCTCCCACCCCCCCATCAAGTTTCATGGAAATCACCTCTGTAGTTTCCTGCTGGTAAACAAACAAACCTCCCATAATTAGATAATTAGTCTTACAGTAATGAAACAGCTCCCCCTTGTGGATATATAGAAACTTGACTGAGTGAGTTATAAAGAAGTTTATTGTCACTATAATTAATAATAATGGTAAAATAAAATCCTCACTTCTATAAGATATGAACATCCATATGTTTTATGATTTTTATAGCTGCCATTACTCATTATTTTCATTTTCAAATCTTATAGAAGTGAAAGATTATTTCTAGAAGAGCATTTTTAGCTTTGACAAAAATAGATAATCCTCTCTTTCCTTCTTCAATGTGACCATTCACTTTCTCACTGTTTGTCTCTTTACATCTTTCGGGGGTGTTTATCGCCGGCTGAAGATTTTTCCAATATTTTTCTGGAAGGGAAAGAAGGATGTTTTTTTGGCTCGACCTGGAAATGTTCCCTCTATACTACTTCCTGTTTTCACAGACCTTTTGTTAGATCCAACTGTACTCTGCATGTGTGTGTGTGTGTGTGTGTGTGTGTGTGTGTGTCAGTTTTCTCTGTGGGCAGTCAGGGACGAGGCCGGAGGACATTCTTCAGCTTTTGCATCATTTCCTGCTCTTCCCAAACTTCCTGTCCAGTTTGGACTTAATGCGTTGGCAGAATCGGTGTGTTTGTGTTAAAAGACGCAGCTTTAACCAACAAAGACCAAACACGTTTACCGACAGCGACAGGAAACCGGTCTCAGATGCAGCTGTGTGTGTGTGCGTGTTCAACATTATGCTGTATGCTCTTAATTGTGGAGGATGATGTTATTTTCTCAGTCTAAACTTCCCGTTATGATTCGAGGGGTCGTCTTGCCAAATTTGCAAAATGAGATCAGTTTGTCTCACTTCAGTTTTGACCATGAGGAAGAATTCTTCATGGACGTGTCCTTCCAATTAAGTTTCGTCCTAGTAG